CTAATCTCGGTTCGCAGTAAGATCGAGTTCGTAGGACCGATCGCTCGAGATCAAGATGCTCAGTGAAGAAGGGGAATTCCCCGCCAGGCTGTCCATTGACGGCGTTTTTTCCCAGTTAGCTTAACTTGCTCGTGGCTTAGATAGATTATCGAGCATTAGGCCAGGCTTACTGGTCCTTGTTTTGCCAGGCAGTCAGTCGGCGAGATCCTTCGTCACCGTCCCGCCGACTTGTGCAATCTGTGAAAATTCCAAAGCCAGGATCCGATCAAACAAGTCCCGAGTCGCCGGTTAGACAGGCGGATTTAATTGAGATCAGCCGGCCAGGAAGACTGTGTGAAAAACCGCGAAACGCTTTGGAAAATTTGCCGCGTTTCCCGCCTGGCTGGAAATTCGATTGCCAAACCGCAGCTCCGACTTCCGCTGGTTTAGGTTGGTTTTGCCCAGTCCCGGAGCAGAAGTCTAATCTCAAACATGTGGGTACCTCGGCCACATATTAACATATCGTTAGCGATCTTAGATCTCCGGACTGTGATCCGTGGGAAGTTTGGCGTTGGTCCAAGCCAGCAACCAGCAACCATCAACAGACAGCGAGCTGAGGGAAACTCCAACCTTTAACGGAAAACTCGCAGATTTGGCCAAAGGCTTAGATCGAACTATCCCGTCGAATTCCGTCGCACAGTGTCGTGCAGAGCCTACTGTCATAATTGCAGCGTAATTATTATTTATGCTGTCACACTCGATTATAAATCTCATATTTGCCAAATGTCTTAGGTGCCATTTCAACCCCTTTGACACGGCTGTGTTCGCGTTTTGTGCTGCCATCAATAATCATATTTCGGCATTTGCATAATTTCATAATTCCAATACAATATCAATTGTCCGATCCAGTGATAAGCGACTACGTAGCTGAATTCCCGCCGAGAGAATCAATAATCGCTGGCCATATATCAAATATAAAGCCAGCTAAGCCATTGAAACGAGTTTTAGGTGAGAGGAACAACGAAAGCGTAATGAAGACATTACCGAAACACAATTAAACATAAGACATTTGTCAGCCGAAACCGAACCAACCACATATCAAAGACATCGAGAACTTCCAGATGCCATGAGAAATTAGCCAAACAAGTTTTATTGACTTTTCATTGCCCCTCCCCCCAGCTGAATTAGTAATTTTTCGCAAATGTTCGCAAAAAGTAAATCTAATATATTATAAAATGCTCAATGCGTAGATTTGTGGGCTCAGCTGAGTGGAACTATTTCATGACCTGTAAGGAATGTTGTACATAACAACAAGTAAAATACATTCTAAAGTCAATTAAAAGAATTCGTTATACAAAAACATCAATTACTTCTTTTACATTTTAGTTTTTAATAATAGTAAAAACAAAATATTTATGATGTAAGGTGACTTAAAGGTATTAAATATTTTAATCTGATCCTAAAACAAACAGAAAAATTGATAAATCATATTTTTGTAAATTTGTTTGTTGATGCATTTTGAAAAAAACTCTAAAATAGCAATATATTTAAATAAGGATATTAATTAGTCATAGTGTAAAAAAAATAAATTACCTTAAAAATTTCTTAAATATATGTGATGTGAAATATTTTAAAATGTATTTATTTAATAGCACAGAAAATTGTTTTAAATAATTGAAAAGAAATCTAAGCGCCCTTGAATCCCACTTTACGAATTCCCTAGATCAAAATCGTTTCACAATGAAAATCCAGCACATTCCAAACAAGACTAGATAATAATAGTGCCTATGTCGAACAATTCTTAATTTACACCCATGTAAGATAGAAAAGCTGTTGTGAACGATAAATATTTTCCGCCTTCAATTTTATATAACTAAAAGTTGAGATCCTCCTGCCGTCCGTCGTCCGTCGCCGGTCATCAAAGCTATTTTTACTAAATAATGAAACCTGAACAGTCATCGCAGATAATGAACACATCTCGGATCTCAGTCCAGGGCTCGATGGCGTTGTTATCCAACGTGATGTGATGTGATTCATTGGTTTATCTGAGGTATTATGCCTAAATCTGTGGCCCGTAAGCCATTAATTTACTAATTGTAATGTTGGCCATAAAATATTTAGCGGAATCCAGCTCAATCTTATCTTTGTGGACCAGGCCAGACAGACTCAGCGTGGCGCGTAGGATATATCGAAAATGCAAATTTCTCGCACATAATTACAATAACAATGAAGGCAAAACAAAATGCTAAGTCCGAGCTGTTAAATCAAAAATATGCAAATTACTTTTGAGAGCGAACACGAGTCCGAAAACTGAATCCGAACAAGTTCGGACGGAGTCTGGGGTCGATTTGATTGATATGTGCTGGTTATACAGTCATTTGGCCAAAATGATGCAATCAAAACTATGTAAATGCGAACGGGGCTCTTGACTTCCCTGACATTTTGAGGCTGCTGATATCTGCTGCCATATCACCAAATCACCATATAGCCATATAGCCGGAACCAAGCGAATCCGAAGGGGTTATACCTAGGCACAATTTAGTAGCTAGCATTTCCGACAGCTTCTGCCTTTTTACGACATTGGGCAATTAAAATAAAGTTGAAAAGTCAAAAAGTCAGCACAAAACTGTGCGTTACTTTTTTTATTGTGTTTTTTACCGATCGACCATTTTTTTTTGGAGAACCTCCCGAAATGGCGACCTTGAGGCGATTTCCCTGGAAATTTTGTCACTTTTTTACGCAACTCGTCCGCTGCAATTGACTTTTTTATATGAGGTCCTGGTTCTGGTTCGGGCCCACGGCTCAAGGTGAGCACATATGCCAAAACGGCAACCGTTTTATCCCTTTTCCGCTTAAAAAATGCGGATGGGTGGAAGGCTGGGTGGTGCTCTGCTTTGGCTCGGGTTACGACCATCGGCTGCTCGACTTTTTATGGTTACGACCGGACGGTCGGCCAGCCGGCCTGACTTTATGACACTCGCACGGCCCAAAAACGCGCAGACGTGGCAAACGAGGCAGGCTGAGTTTTTTAGGCCAATTCTTGTGGGTACCTAAGCCTGCGATTGCGTTACCTAATCGCGGGATCAGCTTACCTAAGCTGCAGATTATCCTAGGATCATAATTATGACGGCGGACGCGACACTCGGCTCGGCTCGGTTTTTTTTTTATTATTGTTTCTCAAAGATGCGAACGCGTTGGCGGGCGGCAAAAAACTTAAGCCGGGGATTAAACCGGATTAAAGTCACATTGTCCTTATTTTTTCCTCTCCTTTCGGGCTAACTAATTACCCGGGAAAATTACCCATTTGCTTGTGCGGAAATTCGCGAAAACGCTTGAAAAGCATTTTTTAAAAGAATTTTCGGCAACGCGTCTTTTTTTATGGTGTGAGAAAATAGAAAAAACGGAGGGCTATAAAAATGAATCGATTAGAAAAAAAAGTTGGGTGGGTTGCTGAGGGAAAAATGAGGTGCAGAAATCGAAGGATGGTTCTAGTTGCTTTTTGACTTTTTTACAAGCCTTTTGTCTGATTTCCACGTTTTTACTTGGAAAACCTTTGCCTGATGCAACAAATGAAAGTCAAATGCGGAATCTTCTGGGAAGTCCGCTAACGAGGTTTTTTTTTAAAAGTATACCTTAAACATAGTTTAGCATATCGCTTGAAATATTATACTTTGTAATACGCCACACTTCGTAGTCGAAAAGTCAAGGTTCTTGTCTTTTGGTTGAACAACCCTTTCGGGACAATGCAGATCCATAAAAGGGTTAAGCACCTAGGTTAGCGGTATAAAAGGGTTAAACAGGTAGCCTCTAACATCCTTTTGGCTCTGAGCAAACAACAATAAATATTCATAAAAAGAGTTAAGTGCCGCCATAAGGCCCATTGTTTGGGTAAAGGGGAAATTATGTTGGAAATTGACTTTAAAAGGGTTGGAATTAAAATCGATTTATATTGGTGTTTTATTGAACATCTCTGTATGTTAGCTAATATTATAGGAGCTAAAAATACTTTAAGAGCAAGTATTACCTGTTTTGTGTGTTTGTACTTGTAATATATACTTATATTATGTAATTTAATGGCAAATATGTGTTAAGGCAAAATAACACAAATAAAGTATTTAAATTTTTATGACCTATACATTCAGTATTTTAGAAGATGTTGGGCAAGCTTACTTAGATTATATATGAATCACAACGCTGTGATATCCGGGTAATAACCCTGTGAAAAGTCTTAGAAATCAATTTGTGTAACGTACTTAACATTTTATGGTTTTGTTTATTGCTCAATTAGTTTGCTTAGGACTATATAATTTCATTAGTTAATTTGATGTAGAAGTTTAGTTGGCAGAAGTATGAATCAGAGCGCATGTGGGAATTAAGCAAGTTTAGATCGATTTTACAATCAAAAGTCGATGGTAATTCAATTCACAAGCCGACGGGTGTTTTACTAGAGACCTCCAAGCGAATTAACCTGCAACCATTTCGATTTCGAGCGGCCAAAAAGGCTCCGCCCATGCCAAATAAAATGAGCAACTGTTGAAAATGAAGTCAATGGCTCGAGTTGGTGTGTGTGTGTGTGCATTGTTTGTGAGTGAGTGAGAAATTCAGCCGCCCTTAGCACGCGAGTTTCTTCAATAAATAACCGAATAACGAACAATATCAGGGCAATGCAAATCGGCCGGATTACAGGGGACTCGAAATCGAGTCATAGAGCGAGTGAGATCTCAAGTGAGTGAGTGTTTTTGCCTCATTCACTAACAGAGGGCTAACATTCTGCTAACATTTCACTCGAGCCCGAATTGAGTCGGAAGTGTGAGTTTGTGTGCGTGCTGGATCGCTCTCTCACTCGATCCGAGTTTTAAAGGTGGTGGTTTTGGCCGTGATTTATCAGAGAGCTGGAGCTGAAAACTGGTAAATCTACTTCGGTGTGAGTGCATGAGTGCATGAGTACATAAGCCAAAGCCAAAGCCAAAGAGTTCGGCCAGTAGGCGAAACACAGAAACGCTTCTTGCCAGTCGAACCTCTCAGCCAGAAATCAGTCGTCAGCTAGTGGCCGAAGTGTCAGTTACACACATCGAGAGTTCCCAAACCGCGTTGCGTCGGAGACCGATCAGATCACATCCAGATCCAGATCCAGATCCCATAACGTATCCGAAAAACATAATCATAGTGTTGAAAGCCCCCAAAACATAGACTGATCTAAAAAGTGCTTGCGGTAACAGACGAAGTGAGAAAACGTGCAGCAGAAACGATCGCGAATCGCTGCAATTAAAAAGTCGTCATAAAACGCAGTGCCCAGCCAAATAGCAAAACAACAACAAGAACAACAACAACAACAACAGCAGCAAAAAAAACAAGAAGGTAAGTTCTGAGCGAGGGAGACAGCCTCCGAGATCGAAGTCAATTCACGGTTTTTGTTTTTGGGTCGCGGCCGTCGGCGAATTTTACGATCCCTTGTGCACTACTTTGATTTTTTACTGTTTCTCGCGAAAAACTCGCGGCCGCATTTCCATCTTTCCCTATTTTTTTGCGACCCGAGGCCTCGGACCAAAAAAAAAAAAAAAAACACAGTTTTCATAAACCGAATTTCTAATTTTTTGTTGACTCGGGAAAAATCGGCGTGAGTTTTTATGGCCGAACGTCAAGGTCTGGACTGCTGCATTTTTTTAGGGAACACTATTTTCGCAGCTCGCGTCGTAATGACTTCGTATAAAAAAGAAAATCTACCTGAATTTTATGACTGGACAGCGCGAAAAAAATGAAAATGAACGCATAGGGTTGCATAATCCGGCAGATTAAGTTTTTTGGCCTGTTGTGTGATCATAAAAAACGCCCATCCTGCTGAGTTTTCCACAGTTTCGTATAAATATCCTGGGCTGCGCAGAGTCCAGCATCAGTTGCTCAGCAGCATTCCAAGCGCACAGATCACACAGCGACTCAAATCCTCACAGCGATCGTGAGAAAATCACTCAATATTCCGACAAAAATCAGTACAACAACATGGTGTTCAACTTGGTTAGTGTCCAGAACCGTTCGCCTCATTGTGGATTAAGCAGCCCTCGACCAGTGGATTAAACCCTTACTAACTTGGCATTTCTTCATTACTTTACAGATGAACCAGACATGCAAAGTGTGCGGCGAGCCGGCGGCGGGCTTCCATTTTGGCGCCTTCACCTGTGAGGGTTGCAAGGTAAGTTGTGTCCTAAAATCCATTGATAAAATATTGATTGATATGAAAAGGCAGAACAGGCATTTCCAAGACCCCAAGGGGTTAAGGGATGTACTTGTAATGAAAAGACATTCAAGAAACATGCAAATACATATTGTTTGCTTTTCTTTACTTGGAAAAATATAAATAATACAAATATTAAAATTATTGGAGTTTTAAATAAAAATTCAGTTTTCTTGAATGAATTTTCGGTCTTTTTCCATATATTTTCTTTAATAAACTTGTAGTTTTTTCCCGAACTCTTACCATTTAACTAACTTATATGCTTACCTTTACCCTTGCAGTCCTTCTTTGGCCGATCGTACAACAACATCAGCACTATTAGCGAGTGCAAGAACGAGGGCAAGTGCATCATCGACAAGAAGAACCGCACCACCTGCAAGGCGTGCCGCTTGAGGAAGTGCTATAACGTGGGCATGTCGAAGGGAGGCTCCCGCTACGGTCGCCGCTCCAACTGGTTCAAGATCCACTGTCTGCTGCAGGAGCACGAACAGGCGGCAGCGGCTGCCGGCAAGGTGCCCCCCTCGGCGGGTGGTGTCTCGGTGGGTGGTGGTCCGTCGGCTTCCTCGCCCGTGGGCTCACCTCACACCCCCGGCTTTGGGGACATGGCCGCCCATCTGCACCACCACCATCAGCAGCAGCAGCAGCAGCAGCAGCAGCAGCAGCAGCATGTGCAGCGCCATCCACACATGCCCCTGATGGGCTATCCCAGCTATCTGCCCGATCCCGCTGCCGCCCTGCCCTTCTTCAGCATGATGGGGGGCGTGGCCCCGCACCAGTCGCCCTTCCAGCTGCCCCCGCACTTGCTCTTCCCCGGCTACCATGCCAGTGCCGCCGCAGCAGCCGCCTCGGCCGCGGATGCCGCCTATCGCCAGGAGATGTACAAGCACCGCCAGAGCGTGGACTCTGTGGAGTCGCAGCATCGCTTCAGTCCCGCCAGCCAGACGATGCCGCCGGTGCAGCCCAGCCCCTCGGCCCGCCAGTCGCCCATCGACGTCTGCCTGGAGGAGGATGTCCAGTCGGTGCACAGCCATCAGTCGTCCGCCAGCCTGCTGCATCCCATTGCCATCCGCGCCACGCCCACCAGCAGCCCCCTGAGTTTTGTGGCCAAGATGCAGAGTCTGTCGCCGGTGTCGGTGTGCTCCATTGGTGGCGAGACCACCAGCGCTGCCCCAGTGCAACCGGCATCCACAGTCACCGCCACAGCCCAGGAAGGACCCATGGATCTGAGCATGAAGACATCGCGCAGCTCGGTGCACAGCTTCAACGACAGCGGCTCCGAGGATCAGGAGCTGGAGGTGGCTCCACGGCGCAAGTTCTACCAGCTGGAGGCCGAGTGCCTGACCACCACCAGCAGCAGCAGCAGTTCCTCCCACTCCGCCCACACCGCCAACACCACCGCCGCCGCCCATGCAGAGGTCAAGCGGCAGAAGTTGGCCGGTTCGGAGGCCACCCACTTTGGTGGCTTTGCGGTAGCCCACAATGCGGCCAGTGCCATGAGGGGCATTTTTGTGTGTGTCTAAGGAGACGTGACCGCCATCCAGTTCCAACTCCAGAGCAGAGCTTCAACCACAGTGGCTCCGAGCATCAGGAGCACCACCACCCATGTGGAGGTCAAGCGGCAGAAGTTAGGCGGTGCGGAGGCACTTTCGTGTGTGTCCAAGTACACGGCGAAAAACTCCAAGTGGGAGGAGCCGCCCTCGTTGTTTTTTTTTTTTGTTACTTAAAAGAAAATGTAAATTTTTTCTCGTGTGCTCGCTCTCACACTTTGAGGAGGTGAAAGAGACAGGGACAGACAGGTTTCGCTGGAAAGAGACAGCTAGACCAGGTAGTTGCATTGCACTCGCACTCGCACCCTTGCATACACACACCAACACGTACACACACACACACACTCACACACTCAACTATTGAGCTCAGATCCAAAAATTATTATTATAAAAAACGTTGAAATTGTAAATATATCTTCGAGCTTGTTTGCAATCGCATTTTAAAGTTAGCCAGCGGAAGTGCTGTAGAAGTAGTTACCATTCCCACCCTCGAATCGCTATTGTACATACCAATTGTTAAGTATAAGCATGATCTTAATTGTGTTTAAGTATTTTATTATATTTTAGTCCTAGTTACCCTACGTCTATAGATTGGCTTTTAGATTTATACAATTGAAAATAAAAACTATTAAAAATTAATCTGATTTGGTTTTAAATGTTTTGGAAAATGCTGATAATCATTTTTGGTGCTGATGGTTTAACGAATATAAAAAATAAATAAATATTTATAAATTATAGGATTTTTTCGCTTTCTTAAAGAAAATTTTTGGAAACCATAATTCGGAGACTATATTTATAAATTAAAACTTCATTAATGAATGATTCATTTTTACTTGAAGATTTCCTTTAAATATATTCTTGTAGTAAGTCCTATGAACAATATCACAGCATTCGTTAAAACTATAAAAACATAGTCAAAGCAACCAATTTAGATCATTTAAAATAGCTTTCAGAAGTTAACGACCTCATCTGATGTTTGTTTTCCACTTAACCGCATCATAATGGACTGTATGTACGGTGAAAACTATCTGTCGGATGTATCTACTAGCTGTCAACAAAGTTCGTCGACTACCGCACATTCCTTTGAGATCAAAGCCAACAAATTATTTACGTATTCTGCTACCACTCTTGTTTCAAAATCAGTTCTGTACGGACATATATATCTGATCGGCGGTGTCTTTCTGCCTCGATTATTTCGTTAACCACGGGCCAAATGGGCGTGGCCAGTCAATAGCAACACCAAACAGAGACGGAAAACAAATGCTTTGGCATAAATTCAATCAACATTCGGTTGCAAGTCGATCGGCGATGGCCGATGGCCGATAATAAAACCGATATAGCAGCCGTTAAGTGCTTTCTGTGCCTGCCCATTGCAGTCGCGATTGCTGTGTAGTAAATTAAAAATGCCACAAATGTTACGCACAGATATTTGATGTTGGGCCCCTGTTTTATATGCTGCGGTCATGAGCATTAGGCCTATGGTGGCCTATGCCTCCGATATGGGCCGCCTCGATATCTCTGCCGATTCTGCCTGGCAGTGCGACCACGTGCTGCTTCAAATAATAAACTTTATATTAACACATACAACAGTCATACGCCCCGTTGATGGCCAGAATTTTAATCACTTAATTAGGCGGCTGACTGACTGCCTGAATGGCTGACTCGCTGACTCGCTGACTGCCTGACTGGCTGACTGCCGATCGGCCAAACTTTGTTTATGGCCCGACGGTCTGACTGCTTTATCCACCCGATGATGAATGGGACAGTGGGCCGTGGCACGAGAACTATGCAGGATTCTTGTATCGTCTGGATGCAAAATATCGTAATGCTCGACTTTGGCTGTGTCAAACGTAAAAAAAAAAAAAAAAAAATACCCCCGAGGCGTCAATCGGCCATAAACAATCCAGGTGGGATTGAAACTTAGGCATAGTGTTGGAGAGATGAGCGAACAGCATATCATCAATATGCATGATGGGGCCCATATATGGGCTAAAAGCTGGGAGCAGGGTGACCAGCGCACGCCATTGTGCCGCTGACGATCGCATTCCGACGTGTGTTTTGTCGTCATTGTTTTTAAATTTATTTTTATAGTTTATTAAAGAGTCATAGTAAAACAAAGAGCCACACAAAATAAAATACAATAAACTTAGGCCGTGCAAGTCAATACACTCTTAAGTAGGTTTCAAATAAAAAAAAATTCAAAATGAGTAAGTTAACAAGATGCCAGCCTATTGTAAACATAGATTGTTCTACATTTGCATCAAGATTTCTCTGGGCTTAGTTAAGCGCAACTAAACTAAGCAGATTTACTGGCTAGATATGTTGCACAACTCAAGTTCGTTTCTTAAGTCTTTTGTTTGACTTTCGATAAACTTAATGTCACAAGTTCAACTCACTCCCAAAACTGATTAAGGCACACACCCTCAAGAATCCCAAAGCCCACAGACATTTCGAACGACTTTTAACCCGATTTCAGGGTATATCGATATCATTCGTCAAGTTCGTTGCCCAAGTCTTTCGTTTTTTGTTGGTTTTTTTTTTTGGGTTCACCTGGCTGTCAAGCTGAAAAAGTGGTTCATTTGTCTCATCGCTCCAATCTCTCCAATCAAAAAGCCATTTAGACAACAAAGACGAGGAGAATGAGACAAACGGAGGGAAATAAAATCGATTCAGCATAAAAATGAACCAAAAGTATAACATTTCAAAATTTTATTGACTGTCAAAATGCAGGCGCCAATAGAAATGCAGACAAGCGGGCCAGATCAAGTTACTTGGCGTTTGGCGCCAGTTACATTCAAGATGCTTTATTGACCCCACGTAGTAAGTTTATGTGTGTGCTTGTTTGGGTGAGCTATGATAGATGCATTACTAATAGAGTTCGGGGGGATTAAGACAAAGACTCGGACTCGGACTTTAACTGCGACTGCGGCTGAGCACATCTTTAAAAATAGTTCAAGACAAGCACCTGCAAATGCTTTTATCTACGGGTATTCGCATATAATTATTTATCACCGTTCGCAATGCTAATGTTCCATCGGTTATAGCTTTCAAATTAATGCATGCAAGACATATATAATACGCGCGCCGTAAGAACATGTTTATTAAATTAAATAATTGCAGCCGGAGTGGAGTGGCATCGCGCTAAAAAAAAAAAAACCTCCCCAATTTGCATTCGATGCTGACAATGGAATGAAAGAAACAATATAGAAAAAATCGCAAATATTATTGACACATTATAGTGGAAACATGTTTCTAATGAGAAATTATGCAAAGATTTGCATACAATTTTGTTAAAGGCAAGTCAGCAATCTTAACAGAGTCAATGCCTTGGCTGCTTTTGCGTCCGGTAGCGGCCTTAATTACCGCCGAGATTCTCTAGAGGGTAAGGGGCGTGTTCCCAGCCTCGCAACTCACTGACAAATAGTCAAAACAAACTATGACATACCGCATCTCATTTATATCTTCAGCTGCCAGCGGATCAGATATCATTAACTTTCAAGGAGGCGAGGATTGAGGAAGCAAAAGGTTTATGATGCTCAAGCATATTGTTATAACATTTCTGTTATTTCAATGGATTAGAATACTTTATTTAAAATTATACAATTTTATTTAGGTTTATCTAATCTAAATCTGAGTTTAAAAGCTTAAAATTTATATTAATATAACAGCTAAACCATATTAATTTAAGTAAATCTTAAAAACATGAATTAACTTATAAATGGTCTTTTTTTTATCCGCTTAATTTTAAAAATTAATCAAATTTCATTCATTTGATGATTTTAAAAAGTTTTCAGTTATTAGATATCGGCGCCTTCCACTTACACCCCTATGAAATGTTTCTCTGAATAACAATTTTTTGACTGCATTTCAATGTGAATATGTAATCAATTTAATTTGTAGTTTTCAAGCTTTAAGTATTTATTTAAGCGTATTTAAGATATATATTATGTTAAGAGTTAAAAACACTTGTTGGTTAAAATTGCTAAAATTACTTTAATTGGTTAGAATAGCATTTTTATTAATCTCTTTAATTTTGGTGATAAGAAAACTATTGAGATAGTTGCATTTAATGTACTGCGATATGTTGCACTTTCCACTTGACCCCAGCGCTGAACTCTCTCTCTTCGTAACCATATTCCGACTGCAATTCAGTGCCATCCCAAGATCGGATCGGATGACGGACAGTTCCATTGTTCTTCCACCCAGCAAGACATTAACCCACTTAATGCAGCCCGAGAGAACGCAGAACTCAAGTTGGCCAAATCACATAGCCCACTGCCAATCGGAGGCTCATCTTTATTGATTTCGATTCCGCCGCCACCACCTTTAACCCCCCCCGCGTGCGACTCAGACCGCATGGATCGAATGGAAAAACAAACTCAGTGCTTTGGGGGCGCTTGGCTCACACGAGATCGGATTTGGCCGAAAGGGATTCCTGGCCCGGAGTTGAAGCTGGGCTTAAGCTGGCGCTGGTAATTAGTGATCTGGTGCACTTGATATGCACCTTAATTTAAACATTTCGTACACACCCAGCCGGGGCACGCATTCAGCTTTTGTTTTTTTCTTTCATACTTCTCCATCGGACTTGGGCCCTTCTTGTGATTCTTCGGGGTCTCTCATCTGGTCCTCGGACAAGTTCTGCGTGTAGCGCATGCCGTTCGCTTGTTTCCATGGCCCATTCCCAGTCCCAGTCCCAGTCCCATTCTCAGTCTCATTCTCATTCTCATTCTGGTTTCATTTGGCTTTTGCCTGCTGCCATGGCCATTGCCATTCCCTTCGCGCGCCGTGTTCTCGTTTAAACGTTTATTTAACTTAAACGAACTTTGCGTGTCGATTAAAGTGCTGCGATTAAGGTACGACCTGATCCGGTCTTCTGGTATCTGTTTCGTTTTTTTTTCGGATTTCTGATGACCACTTGTTTCGGGGTATATCGTATTAAGGGGATTAACGATAATAAAAGGACATAAATGTGCACTTTATCATCGATATGATTTACTGAAATAGATTTTATTGAGGTCTTGATTATATCATAGTAATGAGTTCAAAGTTGTTCATTTGATTATTTTTGGAATTCATTATATGTTCTAAAATTTATATTTAAAACAAACTTTACTTAAAGCAGTTCAAACTTTTTTTAATTTAATTGAAATATTTGAATATTAAATCATGCAATTTAATAATTTTGTCTTTAATATTTAATTAATTTAATAATTAATTATTTATTTAATTTAATAATTAATTTTGTATCAGTGTATGAAAACAGTAAAGAAAAAACAAAGTATTATAAAATAAAATGACTGCTTAGTTATAGAAAAATATAGTTTCAATGGGTTATTTGTTTTCTAAGAAACTAATAGATTTATCATTTAAACATGAAGTATAGGGTACCTCCTTGGACCATCAACTGCAGTTTTGGCATACCTTTGCAGGTCTTTCAAATGATTCCTCTGCTTTCCGAGGCGCATGCGTGTCCAGTGAACTTACAGGTCAAGCATACGCATGCCAACGATAAAGCTGAGGTTGCTCCACCACCATCATCATCATCATCATCGTCATCATCGTGCCCATTGCCCAGTGATAATGATGAAAACGAGGAAGAGGATCATCAGCGGTTTGACCTAACCCAGACACGGTTACAG